CCAACTAATGCTGAGATGACAAATTTGGATGCTCCAGAAACCTCTTGTAGAAGATCCACTAGAGAGAAGCGAAACTCAACACGTTATTCTCCTAATGAGTATATCATTTTGACTGACATGGGAGAACCTGAAGGATATGATGAAGTCATGCTAGATACTCATAGAGATAGGTGGGTAGAAGCCATGGAAGACGAGATGAAGTCACTTCACGAGAATGGCACATATGAGCTAGTGGAGTTACCGAAAGGTAAGAAAGCTTTAACAAATAAATGGATCTTCAGATTAAAGCAAGAGCAACATACATCTGCACCTAGATACAAGGCTAGGTTAGTTGTCAAAGGTTTTGGTCAAAGAAAGGGAATTGACTTTGATGAAATTTTCTCTCCTGTTGTGAAAATGTCCTCTATTCGTATGGTTCTAGCCTTAGCCGCAAGTCTAGATTTAGAGGTTAAGCAGATGGATGTCAAGACTGCCTTTCTTCATGGTAATTTAGAAGAGGAGATCTACATGGAGCAACCTGAAGGCTTCATCGTTAAAGGAAAAGAAAACCATGTTTGCAAATTGAGAAAGAGCTTGTATGGCTTGAAACAAGCTCCAAGGCAGTGGTACTTGAAGTTTGAATCTGTCATTGAAAATCAGGGATACAAGAAAACTTCTTCAGATCATTGTGTATTCTTTCAGAAGTTCTCTGATGATGATTTTATTATCTTACTACTTTATGTGGATGATATGTTGATTGTTGGCAAAAATAAATCTAGAGTTGTAGTCCTTAAGAAAGAGTTAAGCAAATCGTTTGCGATGAAGGACTTGGGGCCAGCAAAGAAGATCTTAGGCATACAAATTCATCGAGATAGACACAAGAAGAAGTTATCACTATCCCAAAAGGAGTATATTGAGAAAGTACTCAAGAGGTTCAACATGACAGAGGCAAAAGTGGTTAGTACACCTCTTGCTAAACACTTTAAGTTGAGTACGACCCAAAGTCCATCTACTAATGAAGAGAAGAATGAGATGTCAAGTATTCCATACTCTTCCGCGGTTGGTAGTTTGATGTATGCTATGATTTGCACTAGACCAGATATTGCACATGTTGTTGGTACCGTTAGCAGATTTCTTTCCAATCCTGGAAAAGAACATTGGGCTGCAGTGAAATGGATACTAAGATATTTGAAGGGTACTTCAGATATGGGGTTGTGCTTTGGTAGTGGCAAGTCTGAACTTGTATGCTACACAGACTCTGATTTGGGAGGAAATCTTGATAATTCAAAATCCACTTCTGGTTATTTGATCACTTTTGGAGGGGGAGCTATTTCTTGGCAATCAAGACTTTAGAAGTGCGTAGCTCTATCTACCACAGAAGCTGAATATATTGTCATTACTGAAGGTGCCAAAGAATTGCTTTGGATGAAGGAGTTTATCAAAGATCTTGATTTTGAACAATCAAGGTTTGTCTTATTTTGTGATAATCAAAGTGCTATTTATCTCACCAAGCACTCTACCTTTCATTCTAAGTCCAAGCATATTAGCAGAAAATATCATTGGATTAGAATGGCCCTGGAGGAGAAATTATTTGAGGTTGAGAAGATACACACTGATGACAATCCTTCAGATATGCTTACAAAAGTGGTGATCGTAGACAAGCATGAGTTTTGTAGAAGTGCGGCAGGCATGAAGCCTGTCAAGAGTTCCTCCACTTGAAGTCCATTTGGCCCCTTGGCTGGAGGGGGAGTTTGTTGGGCTATTGCCCAAGTTCCAGCCAAAGGCCCATGGCCTAATCCTACTTGAAAAAGGATTGGAATTATTCTCTTTATTTGGTTTCCAATTCTATTAGGAAAAGGATTGGAATAGTAATCCTATTTGGAGTTGGTTTTGGCTTTGTAAGGAAAAGCACAACTCTATAAATAGAGGATGGTCTTGAGAGAATAATTGAGATTGCTCATTAATATTGTCTTTGAAAGACATTAGGACATAAGAGAGGTTTTTGAGAGAGCTTTCAACAAGAGATAAGAGAGAAGAAAAATGGTTCTTTTGTTGCAGTCCTTTATTCCGACCAGCAACCTTCAGATCGTGTTTTCCGATTAACTAACCGTTGGATCGGGCTGAAATTTGTACTGAGTGTTCCTGACATCTTGGTGGTTGATTTGAACGGTGGAGATCGGATTCGGAAGTCAGCAAGATCCTGTTTTAGGTCCCGAACAGCAGCTGGGTTTGGGTGGTGTTTCTTTCTATTTATCTTTTGTTGGTGTAGCTATTGTTTGTTCTCTTTTGGCACTTGTTGTGTAGCCATTAGAAGAATAATTGTAACTCTCTTATTGTTATAGTGAAGCAATTCGGATCTTGTCGATCCCGTGGTGGTTACCTTCGTTTTGAAGGATTTTTCCACGTTAAACTTGGTGTTCTTTATTTTAGATTTTCGTTTTTCATCTTTTCGTCACAACACTTATCCCCTCATTTAATCGAGAAGAATATCACAAAAATACTCTATTATGCTTAAGAACTTTAAATATGCACAAACTACCACATAAACTCGACCTGACATTTAATACACTGTTGATGCATTAAAAAAACCTACTCGCTAAAATACATTTTACATCGCGATCGTTAAAAATTTGGTTTCCAAAATTTTTGCACCAACATCTTTTTTCAGCAGCAATTTAATTTTCACTAAAATAACTATAATTTCCTCATACTACCGTGGAATGCACTAATATTTTTTCTATGAGTCATGTATAATGTTACAGAAATTCTTGTTCAATCAAAACTCAATTTTATTTTTTATGTTTGTTTTCTTGATCATACATTATTTTTGCTTGTTAAAAAATTATGTTATATTATTTTTGCTCAGTAAAAAACTCTGCTTCGCTATAAAAACACAATCTCAATTTATCAAAATTATATCAAAAATTTCAAATCAGTCCTATAATTCATGTTCAAAATTTGAAAGTTTTTGAATAATTTTTTATCGTAAAATTAAAAAAGGATCTTTAAGTCATCATATTTTTATGCTTAAATAAGGCTAAAACACCCAAAATATTCAAAATTCATTGAATTAAATCAAAATTTGTGATTAAGTCTAAGATCATCATATGGATATGTTGGAACTTTTGAGATCATGGATTTGACCTTATTTAGATTAGACCGAGGTCAACCCTTGTAACTTTAAATTCAACTAGGATGCAACTCAAATGTCCGAAATCCATTCGGCACTTCTCGTACATAAACAAAATAAGTAAATTGATTATAAAACACGTTTTGAGCATGTTGAAATCATCAAATCAACTATATAAGGCCGTCTAGACCAAAAGTTGATTGTGATCAAATTTATCCTTTAACTTGACTCAAATCTCGTCCAAACCATCCATCCAAGTAAAAAATATCACCTTCTGAACTTAATAGAAGCGTCAACATTTCATTTCTAGTTCATCTTCCTCAAATATTGACTTTTGTCAAATTTATCAACTTTTCAAACTAAAAAAATCTTTCAAAATCTGTCCAACCACCTCAAAAACTGTGTTAAACATCCCCATAGACCACAATATCACACTAAATCTATGAGAATGCATAAAATAAGGAAAATGTTTTAAAAAATTACAAAATTACCACGAAGATCGTTATATCATCCATTACTAAAACACACGTTCGTCCTTAAACATTTTATGTGGTATCTATATATGCCACTTATGTGGCCCGCATTCTAGTTATATGGTCTAAATAATAGGCGTTTGTCTGTATTTGTTCAACTTTTGATATTTTTGCATCTTTTTGACATTCTTGTACAATATTCCTACAAAAATAGAATAACATAAGAAATCTATATATATATACTAATTATGTATTAAGGACACATAAAGTCTATACAATTGTATTGTAATTTCTCAACACATCAATATCCTTCTGTTCTTTTGAGTATCTTCAACATAATCATTAACTTTTTGTGAATGAAGCCATAAGTTCCTTCTTCTCTATCTCAAATGCATGTTTCTCATCACATAATGGGAGAACATGATTCTTAAAAGCTTTAATCATCTCAGCCAGATTCTCTTGACTTTTTCCTTTAAGTTTTGAAAAATCTAGTTCAAGAAAATTAAGTATATGTATCCATCACTTTTCTTCGTTTAGTATGGAGATTTTCATTGGCCTTATGAAAACATGAGCCGCGTAACGATTGCTTGGGTTTGAAAGTTTATCGATTTGTAGACATGTTAAATCGTTATAGAATCATTAAGATATTAACTTATAAATTATTGATTTATTGGTGGTTAATTATTGATTGTTATCGATTTGATACAAAAAAGAATCATTGAAAATCACTTAGAAATAAAGTGATAAATCAAATTAACCATGCACATGAGTTGACATTTTGCATTTTACTCAAAAGCAAACACACTGATATTGTAGAATAACCTAGAGTTTTAAACTGTCAAAAATAAAAGTATGAAACTAAACTCTAAGTCAATGACTTTATATATCAAATGGTATGAATTTAATTATTTAATCTTCTATTAGATTAACCCGTTAAGAAAGAACCTCAAACCGTTAATAACCGATAATAAAAAGATCAAAATTGTTGCCGAAACTACTAAATCAATAACTCATTATCGATAAATCAATAATAAAAAAAAAATTCGATTTGAGTTATTTGTTATTTGAAATAACCTTAAAATTAATGACGTTAAAGAAGGAAGGACAATATTAAACCTCCTTCAATAATATAATTACTTTTATTGATATTTAAAATTTTAAAACTCCACTTTTTTAATTGGAAAACTTGACTCTTTTCTCTCATTAAATAAAGTAGTGTAATGGTCAAACTAATCTAATTACATTAATTTTCTTTTGACTATTAATGCAAAAAAATTTAATGAATTTGTACAAATATAAATTTAAAGGAAAAAACACGGTGGCGTATAGGACTGCAGTAGTTTTTTTGTTTTTTTGCTTTGAAATTTGACGAGCAGAAGAATTGTCTTGTCATATTAGTGTTTTTTAGCACCAGCAAAGTTAGAAGAACAGTCTCTTTGCGTCTCTGACTGACTTCGGTCTCCCCGTTTACTCCTCACCGTGCACCGCTTCATACGCTCCAAAAATGCTAAAACAAAAAACCCATTAAGCCAAAATCCCTCTTTCTTGTGTTTGTGTTAAAGAAAAAGAGTTGCAGAATCCCAAGCTTTCATCTTTACTAGTTTTCTCTTGTTGGGTAAGTGTTTTTTTTCCTTTATATGTGATTGTTTGTGTTTTAGTTTGATTGACTCAATTGGGATTTGAACCTGCTACCTACAGCACCCTCTTTTAGGGGTGCAGCCATTTCCCGGACCTTGCTTGAATGTGGGATGTTTAGTGCATTTTTTTTTATATGGGTGCTGTTTATGATGGGGAATTTGGTGATAATTGACATACTAATTCCAAGTTTTATTTTATTTTATTGTGTTATCATTATCTATGTGTTTTACTTTGGAGTTTGGTGTTCAATTTGATAATTGCTTCTTTACAAGTTTTTTGAGATAAAAAGATGTGTTTTTTTCTTTTTAATATTTGGGGATAAGTGTTCTAAAGATATGGTCTGTGATTTGAGTTTAATTGACTTAGGTAACAGTTGTTATTATAGTTGGTACCATGAATTATTTGTTTGGGTTAAGACGTCGGTGTGATTAATATATTTGAACAGTACATGTGAGTGATTTTCAAGAGAAGCTTTGACAGTTTTAGCATTCTGCAGAGGTAGGTTGTGAAGGGGGTTTCACAGAGTGAAGCTTGAGATTGAAATAGGTGGAAGGTCATTATCCAGAAGATGGGTGGTTTTTGCTCTAGAAGGGCTACCGCTGATAGCACAACAGATCATGGCATTCCACATGTGAATGGTCATCTTAATTACGGTGCTGGAACGGTTTATCAGTCGCGTGGATTGCCCATACAACTAAGCAGTGATCCTATGCAATCCCCTGCTGGGGAAAGCCAGCAACTAACTGAACCAGCATTATCTTATCCGGAGATGAATGATATTTCTCTTGGGATTCCTATGGATGATGTTGATGATGGAATTCCAATATTGTCCAGGGTTTTATCTAACAAATCCAGATCAGCAAGGTCAAAGCAAGTTGCAATTGCAAAGGTGAGTGGTCAGTTTCATATGCTATGTTATGTCCTTTGGCTATGACCTAGTACATTTGTCTTTTTCCTTATTGTTGCTAGTAATTATTTGAAAATTTCCAATATAGGAGTTTATAAAGATAAATGGACCCCATTGCGATAAGCAAATGTGAGGGGTGTTTCTACTTATGCTAATGTGAGATTATTCAGCAACATAATAAACCAAATGTGAAACTATAGAAGAAGAAAACGAATGGAGGAACTAAAGAAGCTTTCGTCGCCGTAGTGTTTGGTTTTTAGAGTATGTTATTTGTAACTTATATAACCCAGTGTGGTTGTGACTAGCTACTTGGCCATTTTAGTCTCATCTGCTATCATCCTCTCATATAACTGAAGGATGTAATCTATAACCCCCTGAAATATTCACTTCTCTTTATCAGAATGCTGATATTGCATGAGTCAGATTGTCCATGCAGAGGCGTTTCAAGAAAAATCGGAAACCGAATCTAACTGTAAACCAAACTAGTGTTGGCAAATGGGCGGGACGGATTGGATATGGGTGGGTTGAAGATGGATTAGACAAAAGCAGATAAATTATCCGCCCTGCCAATATTTAATATGGATGAAAAATAGGTTGAATGACGGATATTATTCACGGCTTCTGAAAGAAAAAGAACTCTCCACTTAGATAACCTGCCTAAGCTCCCCACAACAACTCTTTCATACAACTCATTAGAAAACCATCTACTTGAGTACTATTTTAAAAAATATACCAAGTAAAAGAAGTACAAAAGAATCTGGTGTAATTTAAAATGAGAGATAACAAATTATAAACTTTGACAGATGCATTAGATAACATCTTAGAAAATAAAACGTTGTATTAGCTGATGTTTTTAAATCTGATTTAGTCGATTACATTCAGAAGCAAAAGTAAATTTGTAAACACTTCGAAGAGAGCATGTGCTGCTGAAGGTTTATTTTATAAGACGACAAAATGTGAACTTTGGTGAATAACACTTGGCTGTGAAAAGGCCTTTCGGTTTTGCCTTTCTTTTGTCTTGTTTCTTTTTTTTTTCTTCTGCCAAATTTTTCCTTTCCTTTTAAAGCAAATCAAAATAAGATGTGCTAACTAATTGAAATCATTTTCTTCAATTACTCAATAAATGTAATTAATTGAAAATGAGTTAAAAATTAAATATCAACGGTACATCTAAAAGAAATATTTAAATATGTTAAAAATAGAACTATATAGAAAGTAAAATGGAGGATCAAAATTTAACTTTGCATACACGTGTAAGTTGGAATATAAATTGTTGTTTTAAGTTTTTTAACAATGTGTTTGATCAGATTGAAAGATTATGAATAAGAAGTACAAAAGAAATGACAGACGTGCAGAATGGAAATAAAACATTTAAAGCTACAGATTACGGGAAAAAAGAAAAATACTACTTCATTTATTTGTTCTGTGTCAAAACTTTTAATAGTACTGTTTTAAGTTCTCTATTGTAATAATGAATCCCACATCTTACATTCTGAACTTCATAATTGAAATATAAAACCATGTTTCTTAATCTTTCCTTTAACATTAATAAGAAAAAATGTGTAACGAAAGATTATTAGCCTTAATGATCTAGAAAGCAATAGTCGGTCCTCCTTTACCTTTGCCAATTGATGTAGAAAGCAATAGTGGGTTATATGGGTTTGGAAGGGACTGGGAATTGTAAAACCCATTATTTATCCCTCAAGTATCCGTCTTTAGTGACCCTTCGGGGTGGCCCAGTGGTTTGGGTTTGGGCTTGGGACTTCCATGTTGGAGGTTTCAAGTTCGAAACCCCTTGCTAGCGAAAGCAAGAGTTTGCCTTCTGGGTCGAGCTTGTCGCACCGGGCTTGCCTAGTGTGGGTTACCTCTCCTATGTGGTTTGCGAGCTATTGCATAGGAGCGGGGGTTTTACCCTGTGCGCACCCAAAGGGTAGCGACTGCGGGTTTCCCTTGTCATCAAATAAAAGTATCCGTCTTTAGTGGGTAATATAGACATTATCATATCTCATCCGTTTTAGAAAGTCAACTATCCAAACCATTTTTAATTGGGTGGGTTGGATGGATACTTGATTTTCATCCATTTTGCAACAGTAAATCAAACTAAAGCCACGTAAAAAATCTGCATGTTCTTTGACTTTGGTTTATTCGGTTTTAAATTTGGGAAAACCATCAATATGATTCTGTTTAATATTTATAAAAAGTCTAACCAAAAGAAACTCCCTCTCTCTCTCTGTATATACATATATATGTGCTTGTATATGTATTTGTCAGTTTATAACCTCCTATGAACATAACTATTTATTCTTAGAGAGAACTTTTTTAAAAACAACCTTCTGTATTTTTACCCATAAAAAAGATGTATGGAGTATGGACATTTTCAAGGTACTTGCTTTGAGTTTTGTGTTCTTCTATGTTGAAGTTCTCTAGGAGAAGTGATTTATTTTTTGTTTTAATCATTAAGGTAAAGTTAGTGTGAAAGCATATATGGATATAAAGTGATTGTTTGATTTATGAATGTGAACATTGCCATTTCCCAAGATGACATTGCTCACAGATGTTTGAACTGATAATAGGTTTATCTATTTGTTTGATTCTTGCTAATCATATATCGACATATGAGAATTTTCTCCTTTGACTCTAGGAGATTGAATATGTGTCGTGTGAGAAAAAGGAAAAAAACAAATAAACTGACAAAATCGAAACAAAAATACAGACTTTATTTGGTTTGGCTTGGTTATTTAGCAAACTGACACAACTGTTTCTTTAAGGTAAAAATAGAATCAAACTGAACCGTGAACACCCTTAAATTTCGGCATTCTAATTGGAATTTATCTATTATTTGCTAGACAGGTTTCTGAAATGAGTTCACTGTTGGGAAGAGCAGGTACGGCGGGGATTGGGAAGGCTGTAAATGTGTTGGACACACTGGGTAGCAGCATGACAAATTTAAACTTAAGTAGCGGTTTTGTGTCAAACATGGCAACCAAGGGAAATAAAATTGCAATTTTGGCATTTGAAGTTGCAAACACCATTGTCAAGGCTGCCAATCTTATGCATTCTCTTTCAGAAGAAAATGTGCAACATTTGAAGAAGGTGGTGCTTCCTTCAGAAGGTGTGCAGCTCCTGATAACAAAGGATATGGATGAACTCTTGAGAATTGCTGCAGCAGACAAGAGGTGCTAAGATTCTGAGATAGCCTATTGTCGTATAAGGTGTTACTTTTAAGTTTTGTCTGCCAGAGTGAATTTCTAATATTCTGTAATATGGCAGGGATGAACTGAAAATATTCTCTGATGAAGTGGTTCGTTTTGGAAATCGCTGTAAAGATCCTCAATGGCACAACTTGGAACGTTACTTCGAAAAGTAACTGTTATAAGCTTTTATGTGTTATTTCTTGCTTGTCATTAGTACACCGCAATGAGTGATCACCTCATTTATAATACATTTCATTATATTTAGGCTGGAATCTGAACTGACACCTCATAAAAACTTGAAAGAAGAAGCAGAGGCTGTAATGGTGCAGTTGATGATCTTGGTTCAGTATACAGCTGTGAGTTTTATGTCATTATTCATTCATCTTTTGATCTCCCATTGCTGTGTTTATTCCGTTATCTTACCATCGTTTGATCCTTTAGTTTGGTTTCAAAAATTAGTGGAGAAGCAATTAGGATCTTGTGTTGTCCATGATTGAAGAGGTCATGCAAAATTAGGACTGTAAGAAAAGCACACTAGTTATTGATGCTCTGTCAAAGTAGGCTACTGTGACTACAAATGGAACTAAATGTAACTAGCACTGTCACTGCTGTGTCATCAGCTGTTCTCTGAAAATCGTAAGAAGACCGTGTGAAATCATAGAAGGTAATTTATCTTGGTGGCCTACAATGTGGATTCACAGTATCTAATTATCACATTCATAGTAATTAGTGGGAAATATTGTCTCGCGCAAAGCAAGGAGAAAATATTTGCCGCCAGGGAGGTGATTTCATTTGCGCTTTCTCTTTTGGGAGATGGAAGCACATGAGAGGCGCATGACTTCCAGCCAAATCTAATAGAAATTTGACAAAGAGGGGTGTTGGCTGAGTTCAGATAGTTCGATGGGTGAAATTGCGAAAGGTGAAGGGTCTCTACAAGACTTCGGCTCGATAACAAATTGAATCAATTTATTTTCTCAAAAAAAAAAAAAAAAACAAATTGAATCAATCCATATTAATTTTATTTTGGCTTTTTATTGATTGAAAAGTTGACCACGAAGTGATGCTTTGGCTCGAAAACAAATTGAAAATTGCAATACCTTCTTGATGCATTATTAATGGATAACTTGCTTCATAAGGAATGACTATATCGTCGACATATACAAGCAGATAGATAGGAATATCATGTATAGAATGTGGAGAGAAGACATAATGATCTGACTTGGCCATTCTATCCGAACTCCTGGACTACTTGGCTGAAGCGTTTAAACCAAGCCCGAGAGAACCCATAAAGGAACCATCCAAATAGACATATTAGATTGGATCCCCCCTTTACTTATAGTTAGTATCTCGATTAGCCTCTTCGATTGTTGTTTGGAGACTAAAGACCCCTCTAGTCCCAAAAGCTGACGAAATAGGAGCCCATTCTTACTTGATTAATTTAAACACATTCTGTCTAATCACCCTTTCCCCCTCCAAACAACAAAACCAGGAGGTTGGTCCATATAACCTTCTTTTTTCCCGATTTGGAGTTGTTGCTGCCACATCTGAGCTCCATTCATGATAGATTTAGGATCACTCTCGTCCCTGTACCCTTGCATGTGGTTTAGTGATACACAGTTTTTGGAATAAAGTTCTTTCTGTTCTTCCCAGCAGTGATGTTCCCTACTGCACCTGAAGGCTATTGTCCTAGATAGGAATTTGGAAAGCCATAAAGGATCTCCTGGGTTCAAAATCTTCTGGTCATTTGGAGTGTACATTCCCTAGCAATTCACTATATATTGATCCTGCTTGACGATCAAAACGACCTAAGTCATCTACAAGGCAAGACTCAAGAACTTTTTTGCTTTTCTATTTCTTCATCCCCATCCAAAAGATTATCCGTATATTCTCTCTTGCCATGGCATTCTCATGTCAGGGGATAATGATGGCAAGCTCATCACAGCTTCATAGGATCTTAAAATCTTTCCCTGACTACTGATAGAGCATCATAATACTCCAGCAAACAGCATTAAAGTTCTCTTACCTTCAAGGTCGCATCAGCATTAAAGTTCTCTTACCTTCAAGGTTGCATCACATCATCCGTATTTGTTTTACTAAAATCTGGAATGAGATTCATGATGAATTGGTTCATTTGGAGCAATGAACTTTGCATTTAGTTTACTATAAGTGAAATCTTTACAACGAGAATTGCACTTTTGGGTGCCTTGAAGAAAAGATCCCTTGGAAATATCTTGTGTTTGCATTTGTGTGTTTGGTAAGAATTCAAGCCTAACATTTAACATAACTTTTTTAGAGCCATACTTGTGGGAGGTTGGTTAGTATGGATTCTTTATAGACGACCCAATATACTAACCACACTAAAGAGCTCTGTGGTTATCACAAAGAAACAGCCGGAATTTGCTTATTAGTTCACTTTCTGTAATTGAGGACATCAACTTGCATTCTGCTTTTTCCTAAAAATTTATCTGGCTCAGGTTCTAGAAAGGATAATTAGTCTGCTTTTTGCAGGAACTGTACCATGAATTCCATGCTTTGGACAGATTTGAGCAAGATTATCGGCGTAAAGTTCAAGAAGAGGATACTTCAAATGCTACTCAGAGAGGTATTCCATAACAACAGTTATGTTTTGTTATTTGTGATACTTTAAAGCAGCTTGAAGCTCAAATTTCCCGTAGATGAAATTTGAACTTAAGTTGCTCCAATGTGTTCATCTTATTATATGGTTTACGAACATGGCAGTTTTTTCATGTTGTGGTGCCTTGACAGAGCATCAATGCATTTGTATTTATTGGTTTCATTTATTATGGCAACAATGTTTAGTGATTGTTCAGTTGGGGAAATCTTGAAGATCAAGGGAAGCAACGGACTTGCATTTATAAGTCGTTTGAATAATCTCTCCCGTAATTTCCCTTTTAAGTATCAACATCTATCTGAAGGAGTATCAAAAGAAAATCTTACACTTCCATCCATTCATCAACTTTAGCCTATTCAAGGAACAACAGATAGATGCTCAAGTTGTAAGTTGTAACATTTGAAGGGGGACTACATATTTTGATGTAGTATACCTGTGGTGTGTGGATATTTAGATTAACTGTTGCCATTCTAAAAAAAAAGATAGACAAGGTCACTACTTAATGTCTTCCCCAATAACCAACATTAATGGGAACCTAGGGTCTCTTTTAATACCTTTATCCTACCACTTTCTACACGTATAAATAGCATTTAAACACCTACTTTGTATTCATTAAATAAGTTTCAAGTGTTAGAAATTACCTTTGGTTGCAAAACCTACGCAATTTCCTTTTTGAGTTCTTGAATGCTTGAATGGTATTAGCGTTAATCTACTTTATTTAACACAATATGGTAACAATCTCACCTTGGATATCCCAAGTGAAACCTTGGCCAAGCCCCGCCCCTCTAGTTCTCCTAACACAGCCAAATATTAAAATTTGAAAATGGAAAAAAATTCATGATCCAGGGTATTTATAGAGGCCAAGCCTCTTGCAGTGGGGCTTGGATGTGAGCCCATCGCCGACTCTTTTCCATTGGCTATCAGGCTTTTTTCCAGTGCAAACTTATCGAGTGTAGCTTGTCCTGGCTTAGCTTCTCTTGCAACGAACGTGTCTTGGAGCATATCCACTGTGACTTGCCTCAATCTCCCTCCCAAACCTTGCCATAGCTCTTTGGGCACAAACCTACCTGGTAGTGGAACCTTGCTCCATTTTCCAACTTCGACACTTTTAGCCATTTATGCTATGTTCATACACTTTCCAAACACTAGTTAATATTTGCATACCTTTCCACGGTATTATTCTCATTCATGGGTCTAGTTAGAGACCTCCAAACAGGCTTAAAAGTATTATGACATTATTCAGGATCAGACATCAACGTTATCAAAGGTGAAAAGCGCCAAAAAGCTCTAAGGTTTGTTGGGGCTTTAAGCGCAAATAAAATGTGGGCTCTAATAAAAAAGGCACAAAGGAAAAAAAATACAAATAAATGTTTAGTCTAAGCCTAATAATTATAAACATGAATGACAAATATATGAACAAAGAAAATGATTTATTTTTTTTGATAAAGTGAAATTTCAATTGTTTAGTGTCAGCTCTTCAAAAGGGGCTTGTTGGCAAGGAAAAGTATGTCTTAAAACCTTGATGATGACACTGAAGCGCACATAAAGCGAGGCGAAGCGCTCACGTGTTTTGAGCCTCTCTTCAGGGCTTAAGCGCGCCTTTGACAAAACTGTTCAAGATGCTACCCAAAAGAAAGCTTTATAGAACTTTTTCCGTATTTTTCCCTTGGGAATGAGGGAAAGGTGTAGAATGGACTATAGGTGATAGTAAAGCAGTCAGCTTGCAGTAGTTGTGTTAACTGGTTTAATTTGCTGTTTTCTGTTCAATCATAGCGCAGAAGTTTAGGTGGTGACAACCAGGGAAACCTCAACCAGGTGTAGGGAGTTTGTACTGATCCGCTATGTTGCTTGGACTCTCCAAAAATGGTGTTGCACCTGTATCCGAACTTCCAAAAGTGCAGTACTTTTGGAGGATTCAATACGCATCCGGCAGCATTTTTGAAAAGTCCAAGCAACATAGCTAATCAATTCATTCTTTTTCATGTATTTGGTTGTAGATGCTTACATACTCCTTATTCTGTATACTTTCAGGTTTAGTGAACCATAGTTTTCGATCCTTCTGTTTTTAGTTCTTTTTACAATAATGAATAAACTGACATGGTTTTAGACATAGACTTCATGAGTAATGCGTAGTTTTAAAGCTCACCCCCTTTCAGAATCTTTTCCTTTTCTGACCACCCATTTAATATAGGAACTATATTGTCTGGGTGATATAAATCTGGTTATGAGGATGAAAGCTCATTACTTGATTGCTTTAATGATACTCCTTAATCAGTGTTTACTTTGTGCTTCACAAAATTAATTTTTTTCATGCAACTACCTAAGAAAATGATTTTACACATGTTGATTATGGAAGGTTAATTTAAGCGACAGATCAAGAATGATGTTAGGTTTTATAGAGACTAGCATCTGTGAGTTTTTTCTCCGCTGTTCTTGTATGTGTTTTGATCTTTTTCTTTTTCTTTTTGTTTGTGTAGGAGATACCATTGCAATTTTAAAGGCAGAGTTGAAAAGTCAAAGGAAACATGTCAAAAATTTGGAAAAAAAATCCCTCTGGTCCAAGATATTAGAAGAGGTAGCAAGTCAGTGCTGCTTCATAAATCTCTTTAATTCTTGAATTTAAATAATCGTAATTTGATTACTATTTCATAGTGGACCCGTTAATGATACATATTCTTAGCATGATATGGTTAGACTGTTCCAGATTTATTAATCAAATTAGTAAAATTACCCGAGCTTCGCACGAGAATTTCCTATCATGGAATTTATAAAATAATACTTAAAATCTATCAGTCATTAAAACTAAAACATTATATTATCTTACATACAAGATTACGTAGTAACAAACATTAATAATGTAAAGGAAAATGAAAATTATTACATCTTATCATTTATCCTTAATAACATAAGCATAAATTAATGACTGTAAAACTACATACCAGGATTTGTAACATAAGCAATGGTGTCAGTGAGCCACTCAACATAAGCAAAGTACACAAATATTTAATTATGAAGAAGAAGAAGAATAGGTTCAGAATTTTTGTTGTTTTAAAATGAGAGGAAATTCCTCTATTTATAGACAACAAAGGGTAGTGTGAACCAATGTTTATTGTGCCTTATCGGAAATGTTATAACTATTTGGAAAAGTTGCAACCCTTCGGAAAGGTCACAACCTTCCATAAAAGTCGCAACTTTTCATAAAACGCAACTCTTCATTAAAGTCGCAACTTTTCATTAAAGTCACAACTTTTCATAAAAGTCGCAACTCTTCATTAAAGCCGCAACGTTTCATAAAAGTCACAACTTTTCATAAAAGGAGAAGGTTAGTTTTGTAAATAAATAAATTAAAAGGGAATTCTGATTTGTGGTGGCGCCACGTAGACTGGCATAAGCTTCTCTGTTATATATATATATGATATATGATATATGATTTCTTTGAATATTATACTAATTGGTTTACTCATTACTGAAGGTAACAGAGAAGCTTGTGGACATTGTGCATTTCCTTCATTTGGAAATCCATGCTGCATTTGGCTGTGCTGGTATGCATTTGAACCTTCAATTTAACTTCTCTTATGGTGATTTTTACTCTCATGTAAGGGCTGGTTGGAGGAGTGATTGTCCTTAATTTGATGTTTCTGTTACTTTCTTAACTAATGCTTGCATTCAAGTTTTCGTTCTGTATCTTCAGAGATCCTTCTTTTTTTTTGGATTGAACTTTTATGTTGAATTGTTAAAAAACATGAAAAAACTAGCCTACCAACCATTCAATTTTCCATGACTATTGCATGGAGAGTCCATATGCTAACTTGCAACACTCATAGGAAAGACAACGTCAAGTTGAGTCACAGTGAGGTAGTTTAACTTACCAACCAACCAACCACCCACCTATATCTTGCAGGATCACTAAGGGGCTACCCCTATCTTTGTAGAAGGTTAACTTTTGGATCCATAGGAGTGTTGATAGGTCTATAACCTGTCATTCCTGTCTCCTAAGTATATCTAGAACATGTCATTCCTGTCTCCTCAAGTATCTCTAGAGCATACTTCCGTTGTGAAATGGTAATACCTGATATAGAATAAGCGACCTCAATACCAAGAAAATATTGTAATTCCCTAGATCATTAGTCTGAAAGTGCTAATAGAGATTCCGCTTCAATTTGGTGATACAATCTTGTTCATTGCATGTGATGACTATATTGTCAACATAAACCTCCAAGTAAATGCAAAAATTCGGGTCAGAATGCTGGTATAAGACAAAATGGTCAGCTTTATTGTAAGTTATGCCAAACTCCTGAATAACTATGCAAAACTTACTACGCCAGGCTCAAGGAAACTGTTTCAGACCATAGAGTCACCACAAACTTCATAAATATTTGTCTAATCTTGACTTTGATGTAACATCCTCTTAACATATTCTTGTGAATTCAGTTTCATTGTAAGTTATGCCAAACTCCTGAATCACTATGCAAAACTTACTATGCCAGGCTCGAGGAAACTCTTTTCAGAGCATAGAGTGACTGTAAACTTACCAAATATTTGTCTAATCTTGACTTTGATGTAACATCCTATCAAGCTGTCTGTTGAAAACAAATGGTTTCCTGTTGTTGAAGCATGTCTAGTGGTCAGGGGAGATTCCTTGATCTTGGATGAATTTTTGAGCAATCTGCTACTAGTTATTCGAACAACAGAACTAGAGTTCGTAGATTATGCTTATTGTTCAATACTTGTCTATGATGTTACAGTTATTCTGATTGTACAGTTCATGAGCTGTTTCATTGGTCCCATTTGAATGGTATGTTTGGAATCATTTTGGGGGACAGAAACTCATGAGAGACGCTTGCGAACTTCTTTTGTTGTATACATAATCATCTTAAATTTCAGTTTTGATTTTGCACAATGTATCAAGTTAATTGTAATCTTGACTAGACTGCACATGGTTTAGTGACTAGACTGGAAAGTTTGTGGTATCATGATTACCATAGTGTTGCTGATCCTTGCAGATGGAGAGAGATCTATGAAAAACAACAACCAGAGGTTGGGATCTGCTGGTCTTGCATTGCATTATGCGAATATCATCACTCAGATTGATACAATTGTAAGCATCTCATGTTTGTTTTCAAAAAATCAACTATTATCTTCAGAAGTCTTGCTCCAAGTATTTTTCCCTTACTTCCATCTAACTCACTTTTGGCCTCTATTAGTAGTGTGATGATGTGGAATATGGGACAAAATTTCTTTTCTTTCTCCAGTAAGCTAAAAAACCTTTTTGGTGATCATATCAACAATCCTCGTCCTTTATGTTTGTGTGCTCTCATTTAATCATCATCTTTGATCCCAAATTATATGTTCTAAATTGTACTTCAAAGACTCCCCTGAAATATGTGGAACTCATCAATTCACTATTGAATTTGTGAATTTCAAACCTTTGCTTGAGGCTGAAATTGATTTCTGCTAAGCTCTAATATTTGCTGACATACTAATGTGCAATTGAGCCTTTTTATTAGTGATCCATTTTAAAATTGCCTCTTAACTTTACTTGAACTCCTTCAGTTTGTTACCTCGTTGCTTTTTCATCTTTATTCTGTTGTAACACTTTGGGACATGCACGGATGCACTTATGTCACTTGCTTGAGCCTCATTTTGATTCCTTTGATGATCAGAGGCGGACCCGTGTGGAAGGGTGGGGGTGCTCGTGCACCTGTTAACTTCGAAAAAATTATGTATATATATGTATATATACCTAGCAAAATAGTATATATATTTAATTTCCATCCTAACATGCAAAAGAAGGCTCATGGCATGTTGGTTGCATCCTATCTCCCTTACCTGTGACCCTGGATCGAATCTCAACTCTCACTTTTAATTGCTTTTTAAAAAATAAATTAAATGGCTTATAATAGCCATGGAAAACAGTATTGGCAAATGGGAGTGTTGAGAATCGAACCTGCAACAGTTCCTGGAGTTTTTCTTCAAAGTAAGTACTCCTAAAAGCTCTGTGGAAGTTTATACTAAAGAACTTTAGGATAATAACAAAACAAAGTATTTGGTTTGTGGAGCTGATGAAGGCATATAGCTGATTAGCTGACAACAAGAGCTAGTTTTATTTAAAACTGAAGAGGAACACTATGGTGATGGAGTAATGTATGGGTGGTCCAACTAGGTGATCGTTCTTGGACTTAACTATGCACTTTTGTTGTAGAGTATTAGGAGAAGATGAGTGATGGAGTACTCTTGGGAAGATATGAATCTTTGAGCCGACTCGTAAAGATACTCTTTGGTATGGTCACTTTTTATGATACAAATGGGGACTCCTAACGGATTGTAATTTTCAAAATTTTGTTAGTACGTAAAAGAGCTTAGAAGATATTTTCATTGGGAATATTCCAGTGCAGTTGGAGTAATCTCCAATCATTGTAACACAGTAATGAGCTTAGACTAGAACTTACAGGCCTGGTCCGATGTAATCATGGTGGACAAGTTCTAAAAGGGATGGGAATTTACTACTGTCTTGTTTTGGGAAGAAGCACATTTTTGTTTTCCAAATTGATACGAGTCGTAAACTAGTGTTGTTATGGATTAAAATCAGAAATTATATGTCGAAGTTAAGAGAATGAGGATGACCAGTAGTAATGCAGTGAAATGAGCCATCTGGCAGATAGTAAATGTCTCTTGACTTGCATCCTCCATGCAATTGTTTGTCCTGTAACATGATCCTACAAGGAATTGAGCAAGTCCGCTGATAATAATAAAGCTAAATGGGCATTCAGAAACTTATAGGACATAGTTAAGAGTTAGAGATGGAGTAATGAGAACTTGACCATGGTTTTGGTGCCAAAAGTAAGGATAATTATGGGTGAGAACAGAATATCGAATATAAGAGAATACATATCTATTACTTGCCATGTGCTGAGATTCTTATATCAAAAATCCATGCCCTAGAGACAGAATGTTTGAGGAACATCACTGAGTTGCGGGTATGTGTGAAAGAGACACAGAAGAATCCTTAAGTGAGTTTATTTCAAGAATTCGTCATGTTTGTCACTAGTTCCACTGTTGACTAAAGTACGAAATCCTGAAGGTGCTTTCTGATTGTTGCTTTCCATTGCCATTTATGATCAGAAAAGAACTGGTCTTTAATTGACATTTTAAAATCATAGCTACATTAGCCTACTAGCTTGTCAAACATGTAGAGATTATTGTTGCATAATTATCTTTTTTAATGTCTTTGTTGATGACATTTCCTATTGGTATTGCTAATTAAGGTATCTTTGATATGATCAGGTTGCTCGACCAGGTTCAGTGCCCCCAAATACAAGAGATGCTCTATACCATGGATTGCCACCAAGCATAAAGTCAGCTTTACGTTTCAAATTAATGTCATTCTCACTCAAGGAAGAGGTACTTATATTTGTATGATCACGTCATGTCCAATGTCAGGGATCAACTATTTGATGTTTTGCTTGTGACAAGCTTACAAGTTTCTTCCCTCTAGGTGATTGAACTATAGTCATTTCCTTGTGCAGTTGACAGTGCCACAAATCAAAGGTGAAATGGAGAAAACATTGCAGTGGCTTGTACCGATGGCAGCCAATACTACCAAGTAAAACTACTTTCTAGGAAAATATTTCTTCATTGGCTACATTTGCTTGATTTTTACCATGTTCTACTTCCAAGTAGGACTTTTGTGTTGCATAATTCTTTTTGGAATTCTAATTATGTTGGATGTTGTTAGAAGGTAATCTTTCTTTTTGGACAGATATTCCCTGAAGTGATCCCTCAAAATAAAACTGCATGGGACTGATATAAGTCATTTTGTAGGATGTTGGGAACAAACGAAACAAAAGCAAACTGTGCCGCTATGAAATGTTTTCGATGATAAATATTTTTACTGAAAATGTTTTTCTAAAAAAATATTTTCCAAGTCATATTTGGTGAAATATAATAGTGGTGGTTGGATATAGAAGGTGAAAGGTAGGCATGGTTTTGGTGTTTGGTGATAATCATAACTAGTAAGACACTAAGAATACATATAATGTTTACAAATAGGAACAAGTGTCATGGAGGAGTGGGTCGAAAAATGAATTTTGTCCATTACATAAGTTGTTTCCCTTCTTTTCATCTGAAAATGGTTTCCTAGGCAGAAACATTCTCAATGTCTTTTGGGAACATAGCCTTGGAAAGTGATTTCCAAGGATGACATAACATTATTCATGTCATACCAATCAAGCCTATTTAATGGAAAATAGAGGAATGGAATTAGCTTACTTTGTATTTGGCTTAAAGATGTATCCTCAGACTGTTTATGTATCCTAATATGTGTATCTTTTCAGTACCAGGGTTAGTTTGTCTTTCTAAAGAGTGGTCAGATAGGATCTTTCTGTCCTTTTCCACCCACTCTGGTATGGTAAAAGGAAGTGGGTGGTTTAGTTATTATCCTCCTTCCCTTTAATCTCTTCCCACCAACGTCAATCCTAATCCTATAACAGTTCATATTTATCATGTCCATCTACTTTAAAGGTACAAAAATACAACACAGCACAGAGGTTTAATTCACGGAAAAAAGCGTCATTTCTTTTCTTGTTTATATTGCCTTGGAAGTCAAATAGGGATGGAAGTTGAAACTTCTTAATTTTCATATTGTTGGGGCCCAAGTGTTCCCCTTAATTTGGAACATGTTCAACCAAAAATTGATTATGCATACATTCATTTTTTTTGGTTCAATCAATTTCTCTGCGTACTCAATAGTGTTTTTTTTTCTTTTTCAAAAATCATTTCAGAGCTCATCATGGCTTTGGATGGGTTGGAGAATGGGCAAATACAGGGTGAGCTCAAATCACTATGAACTTATTTTTTAATCCGTCTGGATCTTCCTTTGGCTTGTCTAATTGAATTCTTTTTCATCTGTAGGTCCGAAATGAACAGGAAATCTTCGAGCCAGGTTGATCTTCTTCGAATTGAGACACTGTATCATGCAGACAAGGAGAAAACAGAAGCATATATTCTTGAATTAGTGGTGTGGCTCCATCATCTTGTCAGTCAGTCGAAAAGTGCTAATGCTGGAGTGAAATCTCCAACCCGTTCCCCTAATCAAAAGACAATTGAGTTATCTAATCACCGATCAAGCTCTCCATCATCCCCATTATCGGTTGAAGATCAAGAAATGCTTCGTGATGTAAGCAAGAGAAAACTAACTCCAGGGATTAGCAAGTCTCAAGAATTTGCAAAAACAGGGTTGAGCAAGTACCACAGGCTGAGTAAGAGCAGTAGCCATTCACCTATAAATGAAACCAGAAAGAACCCGTTCCCTATCAAGAGACCGTCTTCTGTTCCAGTGATTGACTTTGACACTGACCGCATGAAAGCTTTGGATGTCATCGACAGGGTGGACTCAATTAGAGGTGCATAATTGGTACAACATTACGCTGCATTTCCAGCTTAGGATATCATTGTGCATAGTGATAGTATGTTTATTTACTGCATTGGCAAAACGTAAATAGAGAGCAACTTTTAGTTAGCTGTACATTGGCTATATTATGATGGCCTAGCAGGCTTAATGCATCAACAAATTATCTTCATATGCTTCCCTTGTGTTATGTCCTGTTTGTGTTTGGGAATTGGATTATCCCTAACGCGAACTAGATCAGATATCTGTTGTGATTCAGGGTTTCGCGATGAGTGGAAGTGATTTTTCTTCTCATTTTTTTTTTCTCAGAGGAAAAGTAGGGTTTGGGACCGGAACAACCATGGTGGATAGGTGGATGGCACAAGGAGGTGGAGTAGAGTCCCTTCTTTTTTGGTTGAGAGAAAGTGTCTTGGAGCTCTATTTTTTTTTTTTGGAACCCCAGGATAACCTGCAACCGCTACAACCTTTGCCACATCCTCTGCCCTTCGGGTGAGCACTTTGTGCGCACTGGGTAAACCCTATGCGACAAGCTCAACTCAGAAGGCATTGAGGGGGGATTGATCTCGGGTCGTTTGTGTGGATAACCACCCTCCAAACCAACTGAGTCATCCCGAAGGACTCTTGGAGCTCTATTGACTATTATAATGTTTTAAATAACTAGAAAAAAGTTATGTTATTCTCCTTACTTAATCAACCTTTATACAATTATCAAATAGAGCAAAGAATTGCAAACATGAAAATATGTGTTTTTATTACTTTCTCTAATTGGGGGGCATTTAGAGATAATTTTAGCAATAACATTTGCATAAATCTGTAATGTAGGTTTGATCACTCATTAAGAGTCATGGATCATTTAGGGAGATGGTCAATTTAAGGCTACTCTTTAAAATGTGGCCACAATTAAAATTATTGCAACTTTAGTCGTACTCAAACTCCATACTATTGATCTGAAGTATTTTTTTAGTTGTGTAAATATTTTTTAGTTGTGTCTAGATTTTAAATATATGCCTCACCCCTTGATGGCAAAGTAACTGGGAAAAATAACATAAATAACCATTCTTTAACGACGTAATTAAAAATAGCCACTGTCATGGAATTATGAAATAATTGAAAAGTGGCTAGCTGGTGATTACTACAAATAATTGTATGAACAGATCTCAGGATTGACATGGTATAATAAATATTAACGTAGTTAGTCTCCCATCTAGTTACTTAAACTAAAAATAGTATTCGAATGTATAATGTGTATAACAAAACTTGTATAAAAAGTTCCATTATTTTCTTCATTAAAACTGTCTTTTTTCTCTTTTAAGTAACTTGCTGATTTCAATTGTCAATGAATATTCTCTCTCCTAAAGTATTTTAAAAAGGCTTAATATTTTAAATTATCTTCTTATATATAAGTAGTAACACGTCAAAAGTGTAAACTTGGGTTCTTCTAATGAAATGAAAAGATTATATGACGTTTGTTGGCGCCCGCCCATGTGTGTGGCTATTATTTAAATAAATAGTCTAATAATGATGAGGAAGATAATATCCTAACTACCTCCTTCCTTTTATTTTAAATAAATAAATGATAAAGGAAAAGAAGATACACACTACAAGATGTTTAAGAATAATATTAGCTTTTTTTAAAATTAAAAAAATTAACAAAGGTAGAATATATATTTATATATATTTGAAAAAGGAAGAGATGATAATAGAAGTAAAAAGTTGACTAGTTCATGAATCTAATTATCTTTCTTTAAAGTTTGTGGATTATGTGAGATAGAAGAGAATCACGTAATGAGTTTTATAAGATTTTGAAAACTTTTGAATTGGTATTCAAACATGATCAAACTACATATTCTCGGAGAGTGATGTATTGTGTTAAGTTAACATTAAAGTATGTACATGATTTCAATGATATATTTCTTTTTTTTTTCTTTTGGTGCACACATTTTTATTTAGTCATTAGTGTAACTAGAACAAAAAGTTAACATCTCAAAAGATCACCCAACTTTGATCTTTTTCCAGCTTAACTCGTCTGTGTTTTTTCAAGATTTTTTTTAAAATTATGTTACTCGAGTCTTAATTATAAATCATAAAGATAGTTTGATTAGTTATCAAATGTAGCAATAGTTCAATGTATCAATTTGCATTGTATTTTGTTGTATTTGTATCACACTGAACAAACACAAAATAAATTGTTACGTTGAATTGATCCAAGTGAACAAAACAAAGAAAAACCGATAAAATTCAAACTTTTCCTATATATTAGTATAAATATTTTCAAAGTTTTGTTATTTCGGTAAATACATAGCATATGTTTACACTTTACACTATTGCGTAATTTTCCCTTTTTAAAAATCCAATTTCGCACAGGTTTAAAATATTGATTTCTAATTAAGAGTCGTACATGTTTAAAATTAATTAGCCAGTATTAACATGTTAGAATATGTGGTTATTTTTTTATTTTTTTTTTGGTACAAATAAAGAACATGTGGTTATTCTTCACTCAAATTTTAAACTTTATTCTCTTATTTTTAAAGAACTTTTTCCACTCACGTAGCTCTCAAAATTAAACAAAATTATTATCTTATAATCATCTTTTTAAAAATTCTTTTTTGAGGGTCGATATATATATATAAAGAGAAGGGTTTAATAATATCGAATATTGCACCTTTAGAAAGTAAATTAACATTTTATCCACTGAATTACTTTTAATATTCTCACTAATAACTATCTGCCGAACTTTACCAACTTTTAAATAACTTACTACTTTTTTTGTTGAAATGTATATCACAATTCACAGTCTAAAGCACCACTTAAATTGCACTTTTATCACAATAGTGAAGCCAATACAATTTCTTTAGTGGATAACCCATAATTAAGTTATAATGCAACATAATTAACTATGATTTTTTTTTTAAGTGTTCTCTCCATCAAAATATTCATATTTGATTAGTATGTATACAACTTTCTATATATCCAAGGTATCATAACGTTTTTTAACAGGCAATTAAGAAAATTCACTTGCCTAGCCGTAACCATTTGTAGTTGTCATTTGACATAAACCCGTTGTATAATGTAATCATTTGTAACTATCACTTGCCATATACTCTATGTATAATATAATTATTTTTAGTTGTCACTTGACATATACTCCATGTATAATATAATCATTTGTAGCTGTCACTTGACATATATATACTCGATGTATAATATAATTGTTTGTAATTATCACTTGACATATATATACTCGATGTATAATGTAATCGTTTGTAATTATCACTTGACATATACTCGATATATAATGAAATACACTAATTATACAGAATAAAATTTATAACATGTAACTATTAAAAGTTATATTTTTTATTAAGATTTTTATTGAATTAAGCATCCCTACATCATCTATATATCATTTAAATGACGAAACTAGTGATATCCACAAACTTTTGATTATTATTATAATGATGGCCTTTTTTGACCCCCAAATGGCTATTATAAGCCTCAAGTTCCATTAGTAATGATTATTTCTTATTTATATTCAAAAAAACATGCCAAATGATTATTTTTTCTAGTGTATTAGTACATATATTTTAGGTGGAGTTGTTTTCTAATGATTGTAAATTATCCATTTGGTTAATGTCACTAAGCCAAGTAGCCAATACCAATATTTGTGAATGCTTTGATGACTGTAACTATAGTTTTTTAAACTTATTTATTACATATGCACTCCATTAAAAACTTCCACAAATACATTTTTATATAATTAAGTAAGTGTTGGTCAAGGCCCTCTCAAAAATTGAGTTGGACCAAAGTGGAAAATTGACTCATTTCATGCTGGAAAGTTAACTTGTGAAATCCCATTTCTTTCTTGTGTTATATATAATAACAATAATAATAATAATATGCTCTATTAATGCCAAATAAGAAATAATTTAAAAGTTTTTAGTAGTAAGTGTTAGTAATAGTTTCTTAAATTAAAAACTAAAAAAGGAGATAGAGTCTAGGGTGGATTTTCCATCAAAGCATTTATACTCGATGACTTCAATTAAAAATGAGTGATCTTGAACTTTTGACGTCTGTTTAATTACTCTATTGGCAAACCTTCATAGTAAAAACTTAGTTTTGTAATCACCAGCTTTCCATCATGTGAACAAGTTGTGTTGATCCAAGGATAAATTTAGAGATTGTTGTGGCTGGTCCATACTCTAGATACCAAAGGTGTCCATTCATCTCGTAGTCTTCAAGAAACTTCGTTCTACATGGCATTCTACATGATAATTTGTGTCTTACGTGTATTATGCCATATTGATAGGACTCATGTGTCTACTTGTTCAACTTTATACAAATTTTAAGTGTCTACTTATGCACACTCAAAGTTGGAGGACATAAATGTCGAATGAGGCCAAGTTTAATGCCACATTTATATATTATGGTTTTTTATTATTATTTTGTAATGATTTTGTTCATCCATAAGCTAAATATCATCCCCAAAGATGTACGGAAGTGGTGAGTGATGTGCTACGCGTTAGGCTAGCTTTATTGATGTGTCAGTTAATACTTATAGCCATCCCCTAGACATTTCTATATTTTGCAATTTTTTTGGATTGGTAGCAACAGAGACGGAGACAAAATATGAAGTTTTTACGTGTTTGGAATTTTAATTATTTATATTAGTGGGTTCTAAATTAATAATTTGTACATAATCAATGAATTTCTTATTACAAATTTAGAATTTGAACTAAAGTTACTGAGTACAATCGAAACTATAATCAACACATTAACTCCGCCGTGGTTAGCAAGAACCATTTTGCCTACATTTGGGACTATATATGGACTACATGTTGGCCCATTTAACTCTTAATGCGAGTAGTCATTTCAAAACCAAAGAAAATAACATGCCTATGTCGACCAAAAGCTCAATTCATGTCAATTGATAAATCACAACCACCTTATGCAAGTCATGATTGATCGATGATCCTGGAAGGTTGCATGATGCACGCAATGTATTTTTTTGAGAAGTCAATATTGTATCTGTATTTTGTCTAAATATGGTTGTGCTAATAATGTTATTTCTACCATACTATGTTATACTTCACGTTCCTTTATACATGACGATTATGTTAATGACCCTTCAAATCAGGTACTATGGAGAAGTATGACTTTTTGTATCAATCATTT